CCCCCCCCCTCTATAACAACCGTTTCCGTTGGGCAGAATGCTGCGACTACGGATATATGAGATGCACTACTTACACTACTATTACCTTAAGTGTTTATAACGGCATCACACCCCAAGCAAAATGGTGGTTGACGTTCGTTTTATAGCCAGACAAGCCCGTCGGAAATCTAATTGACAATGATAAAACAAGAATAAAAGTCTGATACTACGCAAAACTATATTTCACTATAGCGAAACAGATAAGCATTTGGTAGGCACCTCGATGGGGGATTATTGCATAAACATTACTACATCTAAACTAACTAAGGCATTGTGAGGCATCCCAACGAGGGGTGTTCATTAGCTGAGAGCTAATGGAGAAGAGGAGCAGGGCCAGATTGGCCAAAATGACAGCAGACGGTCCTGACATCCAGGCTGCCGTGGAGGTTGTGGTGGGGTTGATCTCGGCAGGGCAGAAGTTGGTTGGTATGAATGTGGCTTTTATCTGTTCGTTCGTAGAACCGTCTATCGTAAGAACCGCCGGCGTCGCTTCAACCTTGGCCATCACGATCACGTGCTTGATAGCTACAAGGAAAAATGAATTGTAACACAAATCTGTTGCTCTGAATTGCATTCAGCTAACTGAAAGCAGGCAAGGTGACATGCATAAGTGCCAAATTCCACCTTACCTTCTTCGGCATTAAAACAGTTAGTAGTCTTTTTGTTACACAGTCTGGTGAAGACGTTACCTCTGTCACGTCGTCTTGGCCATTGGGTTTTATAAGAAACATTTATAAATAGATATAAGGAAAGTTTCGTTAAGTGAACATGAAACTGTGGCGAAAAACGTCCAATAAATTTCGAAACCGTTTAAATATTATGGTTTGTGTAAAAGAGGAAATCCTTGGCTTACAGTTGGCTCGAAGTTAAGTTCTAAACCCTCTTTCGTAAAAGGCTTGGCTTGCACTTCTTTACTGGTGGCATCTGCTGGTGGTTGCAATGTAGCAATATCGAAAACTTCAGAATGTGCCTTGTCATTGTCCTCAAGCCGCACTTTAGGGGTTTTTGTCGTGTCTAAGACGTGGAATGACACTGGGTATATACCTGAAATGCAAAAAAGGGCGCGAGTGGTGGTTTGGTTACGACCCATATAAATGTTAAGACAGTGTTAACTGCATGCCTGTATTTCGAATTATATGTTTGGTAGATAGACAGTGTACTGAAATTACTTTTTGCATCAAAGCAGTATTTACTGTACGTCTGTGCACACGGCGCTTTGACTTCAATGTTATTAATTTGGACTGGTTTGGCGCTTTTTAGTTCGAATCCTGGAACGAAGTCATAGGTGAACGGTATCTTTTTCGGGACAGCTGCTTCGAATGCAATTTTGTCGACAGCGGAATGTACTGCATGATCGAAAAAAAAAACCAGTTAAGTTAAGCTTATACCTGATCGTCACAGAGATCAAAGTGTGTCAAAAACAACTACAAGCAAAGCTTACCTAGCGGTAGTAGGACGACACAGAACGCTGCAGTCAACATGTTCCGCTGTAAAAATCTTTTATGATTAATGTAAAAAGTATATGATTTTGCATAAGTAGATAGCACTTGTAAGGGGATACAGAGATCTTAATGCTTTTTAATATAAAATGCACATTGCGTAATGAAATTGGGCCAGGAACTGGTAGATGTGCATGTGTCTCCTCGACTGTTACGCCAACGTCTAGTAGCAACAACGAAAAATAAAGTTTACGGCGCATAGCTAAAATATGGGGTAACTCTCACATTGGATCAAGAAGTTTCGCGAACCTCAGTCGGAATGAGTTGGTCGTGCAGTCAGCGGTTGCTTGACTTGGGGGTGAGTGAAAGACGAAATTACACGTCCTTTTATACTGTAGCCTCTAATGAAAAGAGCGTATTAAAATAGACTACGAGGCAATTACTCACAGTGGGGCTACTCAAAAACTGTGAGTTACGTCATCGGCATGGCCTATTGCATGTGCGATGCGCCAATCGGTATCTTAAGTTCTATTATCTAACGTGTCTGTTCCGAAATAGTCGACGTTGGTTTTACCTTCCCGTTGTTACCAAGTTATACAATAAGTATTGCATTAGAACTGTTTTAATTCAGGAAATTATTTACGCGAAAGAAACATGCAAATCCGGGTGAGTAAAGATTGAGCAGAACTGCTAAATATTAATATTCACTGGCAAACTTATTTATAAATATTCGACTGACAAGAGCGATAAGGTCTACCATGCACAAAGACGCGCTAGAGCCAAATGAATAACGTTGAATTAGAAAAGACTTGTAAGGCTACATTCCGTAGAGACTCTGGTTGCCTTTAAGTTTCATTTTTGGGTTGATGCTAAAACAAACGGAAGAACAGTAATTTTATGCCGGTCCATCACCATTTCTTAGGGCTCTTATTCCTTAACCTCACCGATTTTTGTGCACCAGGTTGATTATGGGGAAGGATTGGCTGAATTGCCATCGCTACAAATATCCTAGCAGTGATCTTCTATCTGGCTTTTCTTCATTTTACAATAAAAAACGTATATTCGAGGTTTTTGACTACCTGGTAGTTGGAACATCCTCGGATACACAGTAAGTGACGCAAGTCCTTTAATGTTGTGCACGTGAATTTGCCTTGTGATCGGTGAAAAAGAGCAAGCGCTATTAGGTTTAATCTCCCATTAAGAAAATGTCACACAAGGAGGAGTTATGGTGGAATGCCTAGTTGCTGACCCGCTCTGGCACAACAACTTGCGCCTGATCTCGTCTCCCACCTCAATGGCACCATCATGACACCAATATCAGATTCCTGGGGTATCCGATAGAGAGATAAGCAGATTGCGGCGGTGGATTCACAAGTGTGCTGGGATTATAAAGAAAATTTACGACGCTGCGCGGAGGTGATGAAAACAATGGACATACCCGAATAAAGAGAGTACGGCATTATTTCCTCGGTCGAAATCCACACAGAAACCATTCTTGAACTTCTAATCGCAAACATATTTTGTGATCAAACAAACACAACTAAACTGGCCAATAGATTTCTGTAAACGTTATTTGAAGTACATCTGATGTCTTATTCTCGTACGCGCTGAAGACACTGTATTCAATTTATAGATTGAATTGAGTACTTCCTTCTCTTGTCACTTTATCCAGCACGTATATTTGTTGCATCGCTCGCAGTTTTGAGGCGCAGTACGGTACAGTACATTCGGTCTTCACACCATGCGTAGCATTGTTCATCTGCAATTAAACATAATAAAATTCATTCAGAATCAAAAAGTGTGTGCGAGTGATCTTCTTCGGCATCCACACAAACGCAGCTAACGAGTGTGTCATGGCACCAAGCAAAAAATATCGAAAGCCCCCTCTGATTCACACTTACTCAATAAATACGAATATCTTCCCCCGCCTGTCTAATCTGCCACCAAAGCCTTCATGCAACGTGGAATAGGTTGAGACTCAACTAACGATGTCGTGGAAAATCTAAAACTCACTTTACGTTTCAAACTGCTTAAAGATTGCTTCGGGGATAATTACGCACTAAAATTAGAGGTGGTAACTTAGAGGAAATTTTTTTCTGCGATAATGTTTATTCTTCACATTCCCTGATAGAAATACTTCAAACTTCGTGTCGGCAACACCAGAGACGATACAGTTAAATGTTGTGATCTCCTTTCTGTTCGTTTTTGTATAACGTGCCGTTCGACGAAGTGTTATTGTTGCCAACGGACACAATACATTGTATCTGGAAGTCCCCCTTTGACATAACAAAAAATTTTTCCTAAATCAGGCAACAAGCTAACTAATATCATGATGTAACTTAAATAACTATTCCAAATTGGAAACTATCTTCAGGATTTCGTTTCACCTATAATGAAATCGGCAATCAGCTGTTGTTTAATAGCATTTCTGCCACTCGCATGCGGCCCCTCCGAAGAGAACGCAGTTCAGCAAAAGTAAAGCAGAGAACAATCTTTTGTACCCGAGATCCAATTGTTAGTAAAAACAGCTTTCTTTTTTGGAAAGCTCTTAATGATACAATTCCAAAATAGCCACTTATCCGTTTATGCGGCTCCGTGTAGTTCTATTTGAGGTGATATACGTTTTTGAGGATAATAATGAATTATTAAGAATAAAGCAAAATACGCATAGTTAAGGGGACTCCTAATCATCTATTGTTATCTATTTTGATTCAGTTAGCACTTGTTACCCATGTGTTACCCCAAGTATTATTAACGGCAAACTGCTACTTTCGTCCAATTTGCCGCATTTGCAATTCATCAACGTCAAAAAATATCCCAAGGACGACCATATGACGAATAAAACATCCTTGTGGATGGCAAAATGGAATGAAGCGTGAAACCATTCATCTCGATATCTCTTTCAGGGATTCTGTGGACAATTGGAAATCGATTTTTAATAAAAGCGTCGAATTATAGAGACTAACAATGGAGTTGTATTACTGATTATCCCACTGTCTTTAAATAACTCATTTCGGTCTCAATAGGATACGGGCTTTTCAATCAGCTTCTCTCTGACCGTTAACAATACGTATGTACTCTGAGAAGTGACTACTTAAGTGGTATGTACTTGTATCATTGATGGTGACTGCCATTATAAATTCAAATATATTTTATGGAAAGCATTCACGAAAACGTATACCTTGTACTCGTTTGGTAGGCAATTACGCCTTCTATAAAGTGTATCTTTCGTTTTTAAAAAAGTTTTTGACTATGACCATTTTTACAATTGTGAGGTGTTCATTCGTTATACATCACATCCATCAACATGTTTCACATCTGTTGCAACATTTTATGAGAACTATGTGACTTCTTCCTCTACAGGTAGACGAAAACATACTTGGCTTTCAACAGGATGTACACAGGGCGCAATTTGTAAACCTTCAATTCAAGAATAGCAGTCAGTACGTTTAAAAATTATTTGGCCATTAAGAAAATATTTCAAAATTGTAAGACATCCTTTCTTAAAGTATAAACATTTAAAAGAAGGCGCATTTTGTTACCAAACGAGTATAAGAAATAGTGTTTCTTTTTTTT